TTCAATCTTTTGTATTTCAGATGTTTCATAGCAGCTTTGAAGTTTATTATTATTATTATTTTATTATTATTATTATTATTATTATTATTATTATTATTATTATTATTATTACTGTACATACTTTTGTTTAATAGTTTCCATAATAGACCATCGCCAAACGCTACCAAAAGCCCTTTTCAGGTCTACAAAACAGACATAAACTTTGTTTGTTTGCCTTGGTTTCATTTTTTATTTCTATGTGGTTGAAGTCACCGTGTTTTTCAATAATTGTTTTCAATATAAATATGTTGTCAGTTCAACAACAACCTTTTTTGAAACAAAACTGTTGGTGTGACAAAATTTTATTTTTTTTTAATGAAAGTGGTTAGCTTTATATTTAGGACAAACTGGAGCTTGCTATTCCTCTGTAGTTTGAGGGATTTAATTTGAATACTGCTTTAAGTATGGGTATTATTAAATTTGTACTCCATGCATGTGGAAAGATAGTTGCATTGTAAATAGAGTTAAATATGTTTTCAATAGGTTGGATGTGGTAATGCTCACCGCATTTTAGCATCTCATTACAGATTTGGCCATCTGCAGTTGATGTATTGTTTTTCAATAACCTAAATGCTTATTTAATTTCTTTTTCCTGTATTGGTCCATCCAAATTAATTTTTAGTATCAAGTTCCTTAATTTCCCCATTTCTAAGATCTGATATAATATCGTCTTGTTCTTCTGTAATTTTATCAGAATTTAATAGATCTTTGAAGTGTGTCAACCATTTATGCTATGCAATCAGTTTCTGACTTTTATGTAAGCGCGTCATTGTTGAGTTCACTATTTTTTTTTCCATAATGAGGAATTGTTTCCTTGAAGGCTCTTAATTTCGCTAAGCTGATGTACTTTAAATTGTTTTGTTTTTTTGTACTTTTAAAATTGTTCACGTGTTTTGAAGAATCTTCTAACAACAGCGTCATTAGGAATTGTGGGACGCCCTCTACGACAAAGGCGAATTGAGAAAAGTAATACCGAACAAGCATGCCAGCTTGTTTGTAATGTACGGAAGTGCTGCACGATATTTCGTGTTTACTTCAGAAGGAGTTTAAGAGTTGTTATTTTGGAAATATTATAACACTAAGGTAAGTATATATATATTTGTTAAGATGTGGGATCACTATAGATGAAATCCGACGTGTTAAATGTCCGTAAAGTGTGATTTTCAACTGATTAGCTTGATTGTTGTCTTCAGTGAGTGACCCATTGTGTAAAAGATGAGCAACTGTACAGTCAATACTCAAGGGAAGGGGACGGCTCTTCCAAAACCAGGCCGTGACGCCTATTATGTACCGCGGCCGAACCGTCTAGCTATACTCAGATACAGCAGCAGCCATTGTGGAGGACATGCACATCTTGCACTGGAGGTCTTTTGATGTAAACTTGAAATAATTCTCTTGACGTTTTATTATTTGCATTGTCCCGTTATCTGTAGGAGTAAACATATGTGCTATTCATAATTATATGACACCATGGAGCTCCATGATGACAGACTCTAATGGATGCGACGTCAAAAGAACCTTGGTTAAGGTTTTTGCCTTTGTTTGGTCCCAATTGACAATGGGATAGTGCATCTTACTGCCATTATCATCAAAGATACTCCATAAGCCTATATATGGTTTCAATGGAAATTGCACTAAACGTCAACACTAGTACATTAAAAACAATGTTAGATAAGACAACAGTGACATTCAATGTAAGGAACTGTTGCCTGGCACAAAATATATAATAATTTCAAACAAAAAAAGCATATGTGGTAATCTGTTAGATATCCTCATACAGGGTTCTCCACGAGGGGTTTTTACAGGGCGCCGCGCCCTGTTATCTGAAATTGGCGCCCTGTTTAAATTGTCAGCGCCCTGTTATATTTCCTGTGCGCCCTGCATGGTCCCAGACAAAGTATTGTTTACAAAACAGGCCAACACTCATTGTCTTCCGAAGATGATTCATCGTGTTCAGGGTAACTGGTTCATTGTTTTAAGGTGCAACTGTGAAAATTCCGGTTTGTTATCGTAGCATGTCACCGTGAGGTGATAACACCACCAAACAAAAAGTTACAAGTTTTTTCAACACGATTAAAAATGAACATGTGGCCTAGAAAAGTGTATTACCGTACCCATATTTTTACTGCCAGGGTGACGTCAAATATATAAAATCGTTATCGGTAAAACCATTCGTTAAACATAAGGTCTATGGTTAAAACCAAGTTCACGCCGTGACTAGGTAGCGGCAACATCGTCACCGCCGAGTGGAACA